GGCTCAAGTGGTAGCTCGTTCGCCTGGCATGCGTGCGGCCCAGGTTCGATTCTCAGCACCACATACAAACAAAGATGTTGTGTCCGCCGAAAACTAAAAAATAAATATTCTCTCTTAAAAAAAAAAAGGGTAAATAAGACCCAATGGGAAAGGTTTCCTGGTAGGAGTTGAGTTCACTTACTTACCTGGAGGTTAAAATTGGGTATGCAATAGAAAGGAAGAAGAATTGTGTTCTTTTCATATTTTAATGTCAAAGGAATAAGAATTAGTAAGTCTACTGGCTTTTAAACATCCTGTTTGTAACCTCTTTGCTTTGCCAGTTAAATGTGAATATGGGGAGAGTGGGAGAGAAAGCAGAAGTCAGTAAGTGCACATATTCTCCATTGCTTCCTTAACTTTCTTGGCTGCACTTTAGTCAATCCAGCAGAAGCAAGAAGCACTGCAGTGACCACTATTACATGTGACCCATGACCAATGCAAAGGGAGATGTGTCTATGGTAAAATCAGCACAGGCAGTGACAGATACCCTGAGAACATATCTCAGGGAACGGATGCCCATTCCATCAAAGCCCATAGGATTGCAAGGCCAAGTCCTCTACTAGGTGTCTTATTAGAATAGGTTGTAGGTGCCCATAGGGGCACCATGTGCTCACTCCAGTGTTTGTTACACTGTGGTGTTTGTGCAAAGTATCCTTGGAATGGACAACATCCTAAGCCCTGCACTCCCAATCCTCTCAATGGGAATGGAGACTACCAAGCTCATCGATGGATATGGTGAGAAATTATGGTTTGCACCTGACTCTCTCACTTCAGGGTCCCAGGTAAAAGGTGAAGAGGACAGAAGTAGGGAAGGGCTCCTCCTCATGCAAGCAGGGGAGCTCAGCTAGTGGAGATATGTATCCTTCTGGGCTCTGATGAGGCTCTGGCATTAACTAGAGTACACTGCAACCTGAAAACCTTTTTATGAGTAACTCTGAGAGCACCTCAGTTTCTGTACTCTGCGGTAGATGTACCTCATATCACCATTTCTGAAGCTGAGATTCTATGGATACACACACACACACATATTTTATATGTGTGCATGACTACATGAAATTTGAACAAAACACAAAACCTGAAGGAAGTACAATGTCATGACAACTCAGAATCTGTTCAGAGGCAGGATTACTTATGTTTTCTTTATTTTTTTAATTTTGTAAAATGAAGAAGCAAATATAATTGGTTTAGTTACACTTTTAAAAGCAAGGTCTTCTGTAACTTGTCCTGACAGAATTGCTAAAGCCCTAAAATGTATGATTTTATGCTTAAAACACAATGACTTTTTCTTTTCTTTCTTTGGTGTAGAGATAAAACTCAAGGCCCTCTGCGTGCACACACACCCTCCCTCCCCACCCAAAAGCCGTCTGAGGATGGTTCCTACAAAGGGTAAGGCTGGAGGGGCAGAGTCTTGGCTCCACCTTATGTCATTAGACCTACTACTCTTCAGGGGATGCAGAAGTGTGACTCAGCCTTTACACACAAGTGTCCTAGAGATGGATGCCCTTTCCTCTGCCTCATGGTCACTCTCTAGGGGAGCAGCCTCTGAAGGCTACCCAGTGAATGTCCCAGGGAATTTGCTCCTGGAGGACATTCACAGTCTTCACACAGACAACACCCTTGGAGAGAGCAGCAGACAGACCTTGGTGCTCCCTGACCAGAGCCCTGGGAAGATTAGGGCCCAAGGTCCTTGCCAATTATAATTTCTATTCCTTGCCATCCTCCTTGATCAACAACTCCTCCCCGCTCTGTCTCCCAAGCGACCCTTCATTTGGTTCTGTGTTGCATACTGCTATACCAACACCTGAGATGACAGCAACCTGTGGTCCTGGGGCTCAGAATCTAAATCAGGTACCAGATCACAATGCAGATGCCTCTTCAGTGCTTGTCCTTTCTCACATGGAAATGAGTGTAGATTTAAGTTTACTTTGTTAAATATGTTTAATGTTAGTATTTAATGTTGTATATTTTATATTAAATAATAGTTACTTGCTACCAGCTGCTTTTTAAAAACTTTTTAAAAATAAAACACATCATAGAAAAACACACTAAACAGAGGTAGATCTTAATTACAAAGCAGTCATCTTAGCAACCCTCATCACCATCATGCCCTCCCTCCTGCCCTCGTATTATTTTAATTGAACACAGTAACCTTAATTTAGCATTCACCATCTGTCCTTATGTCAAAGACTATCTTGAGATTTTTTTGACTGAATTCAACAATGGGAACAATATTAGCGGAGGTTTTCCATGACTCCTTGGATGTTTGGATGTTTATTCTTGTAAAGAAGCTTTGATGTTATCAAATCCATGGCTCCCCACAGTTCTCCTTGAGATTCTTCAATATTACTGTTTCCCTCAGGCAATGAAGGTTTCTAAGAGGTAAAGGGATTCTGCTTTACATTTTCTTGTATATTTTCTTGTATATCATTTGCTCCTTTATTCTAGATGCAACAAAGGAGTTCAGGATTTTACTAGGATTTCACTTGCTTTTCATCCTTCCAAGTTAGAATATTCTCTTAAAAAAAAACAACTCCAAAGCATTGTTTTATTTTTGGAAAAAATAATTTGAGTTACAGTTTTTAGTATTTGCTTTGTATCTTTGTTTAGGTTTTTCTCTTTCTGGAACCTGTCAGATCTCCTGTGGTTATCTTTGGCTTTTGACATTCCTGTTCAGATCTCTTACCATCTCTTGCTCAATTTCTTTTGAAATATTTCCCTCTTTCACTTTCTGTTTCATGTAACACACAGCCCCTCACTGTGTTTCTTCTATTTTTCATCTCATTTCTAAAGTGATGTTCCAATATTTGCTTACTCTCTCCTGATTTCTGTCCATCCACTTCAGGGTTTCTCCCATCCTGATTTATTCATGCCCTTTTATGCTTTTACTCATTTTTTAATGACTTTTCCCTCAGATTTGAAAAAGGACATTGCCAATAAATGTCTCATCAAGACTGAAAATAATTATTATTCTCCCATCACCTCCCTTATATCTATCCATACCTATCCTTCCCTAGTATGAACCTTCACCTGATTATTGTTCCTCCATGTATGGCCTTTCTCACAAGGAAACAACTGCTACCACATTACCAAAACCTGTAATCATTCTAAGTAGGTGTCCATTTTCTAAACCCTTTAGTATTCAGCTATTGACCATTATAGATCTAAACAATGATTTGCCTTCCAAATTTTTCTTTTTCTTGTCTTCATTGTTTAGTATTTCATTCTTACAATTATTGACTCCTAGTTTCTTCAGGGTTATTTTAGTCACAGAATTTCTTTGTCTTAGATATTTACCTTTGAGTCATTTGAATTTTTTTTTCTTTCTAGATGCATCTATTTTCAGACAGATTTGGTTCTTAGCCGTGGCAATGTATTTTTAGTGTGTAGCTGCAATTTATTTTTACTCCTTTAGATTTCCAGACATGCATGTGCTGGGTTGTGTCCATTTTGGGCCACACCTGTCTGCAAATGGCTCACATTGATGCCCTATCTATGTCACAGTAACCCCAAGAATTGTCCTTAAAGGTTTACTCATATTATATTGAAAAGACACCCTACTGAAAAACTCTATAGAGAAAAGTATTCTTAATTTTCTTGGCATATTTAAAAAATATTTTCCTTGCATACAATAACATGGCAGTCATATTATGCCTAGAAGGTTATTACGCCCTTTAAATGATGGAAAGCCTATCATTTACAATATTTATGAAACTAGAAGACATTATGCTGAGTAAAAAAAGCAGAAAAAGAAGTGATATCCCTCTAAATGAGTTAAACTCATAGAAACAGAATAGGATAGTGGTGACCACAAGCTTGGAGTTTGGAAAATAGGGAGCTGTTGGTCAAGGTTGCCAAGTTTCATGGCTATGGAATGAATAAGCTCTAGAGAGCTCATCTCCAGCAAGCTTTCTACAGTTAATAATATTGTATTGTATCTGGATATTTGTTTAGAGAGTAAGTCTGACATGTTCTTATCACATACACAGAAGATAAGTACGTGAGTTGGAAGATGTATTAATTAGCTCAATTGTGGCAATCATTTCACAATGTATACATACATCTAAATACCACATTGTATGCCTTAAAATATGCAATATTATTTGTGAATTTTACCTCCATAAAGATGAAAAAAATGTTTCAATAAGAGGAAGAGTTTTGCAAAATTGTTTGCAGAATTAAACTGTTTTAGAAAAACTATTCCACAAGAATCATTAGCTATAGGTATAATAGTTTATATTTTGATATTGATTATATTTTTATATTATCTAATTGATCAGAAACTTATCTAGTGTTGTTCCAGCCCAGGAAAATCCCTCACAAGATCGATTCATAGTTAAAGCAACAGAAAAGATCCTCTTGGTTTTTTTTTTTTTAAAGAGAGAGATAATTTTTTTAATATTTATTTTTTAGTTCTCAGTGGACACAACATCTTTGTTTTTATGTGGTGCTGAGGATCGAACCCGAGCCGCATGCATGCCAGGCGAGTGCACTACCGCTTGAGCCACATCCCCAGCCCAAAGATCCTCTTCTGAATCATAAATTATTAAACTTATTTGTTATCTTGCAGTTGCCAAAAGTGACTGATGCTGCTTTCAAGTATATCAATTAACAAAATTGCTAAAAGTATACATTTTCATGGATATAATTAACAAATGTACATAAAAGTAAGCCAAAAAAACTTATATCAAGCTAATATTGGGAAAGTGTTTTTGTAGAATATAAAGGTTGTCACCAAAAATATTATTTATAATGTATAAATTTATGTTACTTCTCATATACCTTCAATACTTGTATTATGTTGTATAAGAAATAAAATGTTTTAAGGGGAAAAGTTTCATAATTCAGTACGTATACTAACAATTTCCTTCAGGTTTTTACATAAGGACTTCTGCATTTTCTCTTTGCTTGGACCTGTGTCTTAGAATGTTTTGTGCATACATAACTGAATACCAGAGACAAGATAATTTATAAAGAAGATACATTTATTAGTTCAAGAATCAAAAAGATCAATGTGAAGGTACTAGTATCTAGTGAGGCCCTCTCTCCTGTGTCATCTTGTGGCACAAAGCAAGAGGACAAGAGAGGGCTGAATTCACCTTAAGAATCCCAATTCTAGCAATAAACAAGCCACTCCCATAGTAACAGTAGTAACTGTAGAGTTGTTTGTTTTTCTCTTTGTTTAGTGGACACAATATATTTTTATGTGGTGCTGAGAATTGAACCCAGGGCCTCATGCAGGCGAGGCAAGCGCTCTACCATTGAGCTACAACCCCAACCCCATGACTGTAGAGTCTTTATGAGCAAATGGCTTCTGAAGCATCCCATTTCTCAGCCCTGCTGCATTGAGAATTGTTTCAAATACATGAACTCTAGGACCAATTCAAACCATAGCAGCCTATGGCAAAGTACGCAGCCAGTCCTGCAGTGGTAGGATTTGCCAGTATTACAGCTTGAGCAGATTCATGAGTGGAACAAGCAGAGGGGCCTTTGATCCAGCTTCACAAAGTGCCACAGATTGACCCAATCACCTAAGAGGGGCCCTGCCCTGTAATGCCCTCTCATCTAAGGAGTTCACACAAGGGTACCAGCTACCAAGGGAACCATGAACACATAACAGATAAGTTTTGCAGAACCCATCCCAGGGTTTGACTAGATGCTTTTCATGTCTAAGCAGAAATGGAAATAGGAAATAGAAATTAATGGCAAGTATTATTAAATGTATACGCCAGAATTTATAGTGCAAGGGAGATACACAGAGACTGGTGGTCTGGTACCTGTTTTCAGGAAATACCCAGCCAAGTGAGCTGAAATGGTCAGCAGATAAGTACAATGTCACTGCATAAAAGAGCAACAATAGGAGGGGTGTGAGTGTGTGTGTGTGTGGGTGTATGTGTACAGGGGTTGAGAAGAAAGGGAAGAAATTAAGAAATAGGCTCAGGAGACAGACCATCCCAAATTTTTGCAGCTAACAAATGGCAAGGTTGAAATTCAAACCCAGGTCCTCTTGCCAAATTCGATACTTTTTCATCTATACCAAGGCATGGTTATCCACATCTATACACCTGGTCTGAATGCACACATCTGCCAAATATCTTAGTTTGTTTTCTGTTGCCAAAACAAAATACTCAAATTTAGGTAATTTATAAAGAATAAAAGTTTATTTGGCTCCTGGTTCTGGACACTAAGATCTAAGAACATTATACTAACCTTCTTGCTACATCACAACAGAACAAAGAGCCTCATCACATGACAAGACAGAGATAACATGCTAGCTGGGGTCTCACTTCCACCTCTATAAAGTCACCAATGCCATCCTTGGGGCCCTACCCTCATGATCTCACTAATCCTTAGTACATTCCAAAAGCCCTACCACCCAAATTTTAATGATACTACAAATGAAATTTGGAGGCAGGGGATACATTCAAACCATATCAATGTTTAACCAAATCATCCATTCTCTGCACCTGGGCAGCAGGGATGAAAGGAGGTGGGCAGGTCAGAGAAAAAGTTTGGATGGATAGGTGGGAAAACTGAATGATGATGGAAGAAGAAGACACTGAATTAAGATTCAAGATTCTGGCTAGCAGAAGTGGGTGGGAGGAAATACCCATCAAAAATCGAAATGTAGAGGCCAGGTGCGTGTGGTACACACTTGTAATCCCAGCAGTTTGCGAGAATAAGGCATAAGAATCGCAACTTCAAAGCCATCCTCAACAACTTAGCAAGGCCCTAAGCAACTTAGCAAGAACCCTGCCTCAAAATAAAAAGGGCCAGGGATATGGCTCAGTGGTTAAATACCCCTGAATTCAACCCTTGATACCAAAAAAAAGAGGAAGCTGGGGCTCATGGGTTGGTGTATTTGGGGTCCAGCTCTGACAGAAAAATGACACAGTATCCTAACTCACCAGCTGCCCATTCTTCTGCCAGATCACTCTCTGTCCCTGTTCTCCTGCATCATCTCTGGAAGAGTGGCAGAAAGTAGGGGCAAATGATAGCCTCATACATTCGACACTGAGGAACACCAGTGGTCATTCTATATGGTGTGAACAGAGCACCAACAGCTGTGCCAGCACTTATCACTCAGGAAGCTGGCTTGAGAGCATGAAGAAGACTCCTATCCAGAAATGTGAGAAGAGCCACCAGAGAGCAAATCACTGTTACTATCTCTCATTAGTAAATCCTTTCATATCTATCTGTCTTTGGCTCCTCCAACTACCCCAAGATATAGCTTCTTATTTTATAGATGAAAAGACTGATACTTAGGAGCAATGGTTTGTCCAAGGGAAGGAAAGGGGGAAAAAGGCTCCAGGTCAGGAATTAACCACCACATCTTCACATGTATTAACAAAACCGTTCTCTCAAATACGCCTTAGGAGTTGCAAAAAGTTCAGATGGATCTTGTGTGCAAAGGTTCTGAGTTGGTCAAGTCTAAGTTCTAGGAACTGAATAATGGAAGGGTGGCTCTAGAAATAGCCCAGAGAGCAGGTTGGGCAGGCCAAATTCTTGTTTTGGGCAGTGCTAGGGATCAAACCCAAGGCCTAGAACATGCTAGGCAAGCAAGCACTTTACCACTGAGCTACATCCATAGACTGAATCTATGGTTTTTGAAGTTCAAGTCATCAAAGAATTCTAAAATAAGTGGCAGACAAAATTGGAGTGGTTTTTTAAAACTATGCCCCCTACTTCCTAGTAAAAAATGGCCAGAAGCAAAAGCAGAGGCAAGTTAAGTTTTCCTAGGAATGTAAGATAAAGGCAAAGGAGGCCTGGATTTCAAAGGCCTGGGAAGAAATGGATGGATTTGTAGAATCGAGGAGGTAAATAAACAGGGTATGTGATTAACTCCAGGTGGAGAGATGAAAGAGGAAGAAGTGGCTACTATAGTCCCTCTCACCTTTGAGACTCCCAAACCCCACACGGCAGCCCCCAGCCCATCATTTGAGGCACGATGCTGAGTCATGTCCTGTTAAATAGTAGGACTCAAACTGAAGTTGAATTAAATAGAGGCATTTAGACATTTTTTTCAGAATGCCATGATGTCTGCATGCCAGAATGGGGCATACTCAGCAAGATCCATCTTCAATAGCAAAAGTGTACAGTTAGTTACCTATTGCATGGTACTATCTGCTCACTAGTCTTGATCAGAAGCAACTTACTTCTGCCCAAGGGCCTATGAAAACAAATCTTTTAGTTAACCCACAGCCCCTCTCTGAGGCAGTACATTCTGAAGTCTTCATCATCTGTGGTTACTGCATAGACCAGGCACGACTTCCCACTCCATGTGGGGTTGTTGCTGCCAGGAATGAAGCTGGCAATAGAGATGCTGCACGTGGAGCTTTATTTCCTTCGGGTATGTACAGGTATATACAGTTGGCTTGAGTCTATGGTACATTATTTCACAGAATTCTCTTACACTCAGTGCATACTCCTAGGCAGGAAGCAGCAGATTCTGTTCCAATTGTCCATGGATGGTGGAGGAAAATGATACTAACAGGAGCATCCCTTCTCCAAAGACATTCATAGGGACTGTTTGCCCCCTTTGCCAAATACTAAAGCCCTCTCATGGACAATCTGTGCCTCCCACCTGCTTTGGGCACTTATTGATGGGAGCTGGGTGGTGGTGGCAGCAAACAGCTACTGCCCAACTCTTTCTCCTCTAGAATACTTGTGGGAGCCCAAAAAAGTTAGGGCCCCTACACACCAGCAGAGGCAAACTGACACCTGACACCCAGAGCCTGACCTGAACGCTTGGCCCCCAACATGTGCACAGCCTTCTGAGCCCTGTATGGCCTGGCTTCATGGGGCACTGGCATGCATCTTCTCTAGGCAACTCGTCCAGAACATAACCAGTCGGTTGTCACGGTTGATGCAGAAATCTGTGAAGTCTTTCAGCAGCCTATCTGCAAACTTCTCATCCCCTGTGGCACTAGAGCGCCATGTCTTGGTAAGCATGGTGTTGTAGGCCCAGTTATAGCCAACCCGTTCCTCACAGAACATGTTTTGGTTGGTGGAGCTGGTGGAGTTCCGCCGCCTCCTCTGCTGCCCTGAGAACTTGCGCTTGGAGTAGGGCAGCTGCAGAAACACTGTTCCTGTAGGGAAAAGGCAGGGCCTGTATAGTATCCACCAGGAAGGCACCTGGAGATGGCTGAGGTGCTTCTGCCACCACAAGTTCAGAACAGGGAAAGGGATCTCTAAACAGGCCCAGGCCCCTCAGGGCTCATGCATCTGCCAGAGTCCTCCCTAGTCAACCTTTTTGCTCATAGTTCCTCACCTGTAACATGGATATACTGAGGCTTGTTCTCAGCAGGGAAGTTAAACGCAGAGGCAGAATATTTATCTTGTACAAATCCAAACCTAAGGGAAGGACAGGAAAGTATACTGGTTAAGGTCTCCTTAGCTAGAGGGACAAGGGGAAAGAGTGGCTAATAAGACTAACTGCTTGAGATAAAGGTATATGAAAAGATCTCATTCCAGGTGGACCAGGCAGGCTGCTTTATTTCACCCTCTCTACTCCCCAACCTCCACCCCTACTCATAAAGCAGCTCTCCAGCTCTCCTGTGCCCCAACACCTTTCATCTCCTGGGTCAACCATATGATTTCAATGAATGAAAGCCCCTCTACCTGATACACTCTTCATACAGCCAACCCTCTCTCCTGCCACATCCCCAGCTATCCTAGTAGCCCTCCCCACTGTAGGTTTCCCCCATCTCATCCTATGTCTTCCCTCTGTCTCTTGCTGGAATTTATCCCAGGTGCTATTTGGCTACAACACCCACCCACATACATTCCCCATCTTAATTTACCTTAGTCACACTTCTCCCCCTTCCCCATTGTTCTCTGGCTAAGCATCTAGAAAGTACTCAATAAAGGCCTTGAATTGAAATAGAATGAAATATCTCAATTGAAATTCTTTCTTTAAAAGTGAGGAACAACAACCTGGGATTCTTTGCTTTGCTGCACTCTGGAAATGGGCAGGAGGAGCCATTATTCATCTATAACTTGTTCTATTTCTGGTTCTTCTATTTCCATAAAGCACATTTATTATAGCCCTAACTGCTAAGAGCTATAAAGGATGTGCTAACAGATGTGGCGCCTGCCCTCTAAGCCTGAGAGTTTTACGTAACAAAGGCAGTGATGTAGGCAGAGCTAAGGAGATAAGCTTCCTGTCTCCTATTCTGCGCTGAGCTCCCCAGGAGATGAAAGGTGTTGGGGTACAGGAGAGCTGGAGCCTTTATCCAAGAAGTTGGCATTACTCTGGTATTCCTTAAGAATTTACAAAAAAATATATAGGAAATCAAATGTGCAAATTAATTGGATAGGCAAATATGCACTGCAAGCTTTTTCATCTACAAACTGAATCTATCATATATATAAGAATGGTCTGGATTTTGCCTTTGCTTCCTCTCTACTTTCCAATCAAGTTCAATGATTTACTCAGCATGAATCAGCCTTACCAGAGTATTCTTGCTTCATTTCTTTCTTAAGTTACCAGGAACATCTTTTATTTAAAAAAAAAAATTAATTACACAGCACAAGTCCTTGACTATTTCACTGCCCACCTGGGGAGAATTGTAAGGCAGGACTACAGTGAAGGCGAGGAGCTCCTATTCCAGGGAAGGGGCTGTACTAATCTCACCCAGCTACCCAGATGAAGTTAAAGGAGATAGGAGTCAGAGCAGAGGGGATCCAAGGAAGGTGGACACTTTTCATAGCTTTTTTTGAAATGGACCTTGTAAATGGGCTAAATGTATCATTTTAGAGCCACATTCCCCTTAGAATTTCACTCCATGGAAAAATGGCAAGAAAAACAGCCAGTTTGGGCAAGGCACTGTGCTAAGCATAGTGAAAGGGAAAAATGCATACCTTTGCTCTCCAGGGCTCCCAAATCATTGTAACAGATTGGTACAGTGTTCAGGAGAAAAGGATGGAGTAATTAGAGTAAAAAGACCTGGGAATCCCTGTTAGGGGAGGTATATTTCACATGACACTGAACAAGATGTAGCAAAAATAGGAGATTTGGTTTTCACCATGAAGTAGCAGTTGGACACCAACTTAGTGATACTGAGACAGTGTGGTTGCTGGTCTAGTCTGGGGGAGACAGCTAAGCCTAGGGAAGGCTTTCCCTAGCACACATATTAGGTGTCAAGAAATATTTATAAGCTCATCTATTGCTTTTTAACCATTCGCTGACTTTTCAACATGTGTTAAGGGTCTCAAATTTTATATATTTCCATTTTGTGTTATCTTCTAAATAGCTTGAGGCTCTCATTGGAGGCTAGGGAGAGAGCTCTAAAATCTTCCCTCAACTGAAAGAAGGCAATGAGGTCTTAAAAAACTGGCAGGGTAATGCTTATCTCAGAAGAGTCTTGGATATAAGTAGTTAATCTGTCATTAGTGGAAGAGATCCCTTTCCCCAGGAACAAAACAAACTGGGTTTCACTTTGCTAATTGCTATTGGAGATAAATATGGATTCCTTCCTACTAATGCCTCTTGCTAAGGGACAAACCTGTGTGCAATGGCTTCCTGAAAAAGATGCATTCGATCCCAATATGTTTCTGGTTCAAAGCCTGTAAGACAAAAGATTCTATGTTGATTTGTGATCACAAGATTTTGCCTGCATTTGGGTTTCTGCGCCCTTAATTACTCTTAGCAGTTATTGCTCGTTAAGCATAAGCTGCTTTTCCACACAACCTCTTTTGGGAAGATCATCCTCCATCCCAAGGTCAAAGAAAGGACATGTATGTGTTCACTATGTCCTCCCCTGAGCTACAGCAGGATCCAGTAAAGTGATGAATCCTCAGGAGCTAGTGTGAACTGCTTAATAATAATAATATCTCATGTCAAAAGCTGAAAAGAGCATTTTAAATACAAAAACAAGACAAATCTTAAATGCATATTAGCTGCTTCTAAAAAATAACAACAACAACAAAAAACATGTTTTTATGTTACCAATCTTCCATTTCCCTAGAGGGAAAGAAAATATTACAAGCTCCACGTTAGGGATAAGAGAATTGAAACAAGTAAACATGAAAATGAATTTCTGAAAGGAAATTAGGGTGGTGGGGAGAAACAGAGCACTTGGGTACCCTCACCATCAGCCACTGCATTATCCAGCCTCACTCCTGCAAGGCTGCTGCTGTGGACCAAGAGCTGAGTGAGGCGGGAGAGCTGAACAGGCTGTCACATAGCAACAGGCGGCAGAGCCTGGGCTGCTCTTGGGGTGAAAGTGCTGAGGGCTGGGGCAGCCATTGCACAGTCAACCCCAAAACTAGGGATGCCTATGGTGGCTTCGTTATTCTTTCATATTTGGAACTTTCTACCTAAGGAAAATTTGAGGATTCTGAACAATAGGGAAAAAAAGAAAATGGTTTTGGCTTTAATGGGAAAACACACAAAGACAGCACATGCTTTTCAGATTTTTAAGATTCTGAATTCACTGTTAGCAAAAGCAGAGATAACAGAAGTGAAGCCAGATTTAAAGTTAGGTAGTCAGTGTAGTTAGGTAAATCAGGTCTAATATTGAGTAAGATCCAAAATGGAGGCCAAGTTAAGAATGAATTCCGGTAAAAGCAGAACAACTCTTGGAATGTTAATGAAGTCCCGGAAAAGCCTAAGGCCCAGAGCCCATCCCAAAGAAATGTTAATAAAGATTACTTCTTTGCCCCACCTGTGCCCCACCCTTCCCACCTTCCCACCTAAGTTCCATCACTGAAAGAACTATAAAAAGGGGAAACAACTGCACTTCCACGGATTCCATCTCTTGGGTCCCCTTCTTCCTCCCGGAGAAGTCTTTTCTGCTGTCCTTTAATAAAGCCTCTACTTTCCACTCCAACCTTGCCTCGGCGTGCTTCTCTGGTGTTATTCTTCAACATTGGGGAAGCAAGGACTCACCGGTCAACAGCAGTAACAGAAGGAGGCCCAGAAGCAGGAAAATTGATTCTTAAATTTGAGGCTTTATTCCTTTAAACCGGGACTCTATGTTGGCAACAAACCGAGGATGCTGGTCTTAAAGACTGGGTTACAAATGGCCAGAAAAACCATCGACTTGCACAAAAATATCCTCTAATGCAGTCCCGTGAGCTATTCTGTGCTGTTTCACTAAGAGTGGAGGTGGAGACTCTGTAAACTCTATGTATCTCAGAGTCCATGACTTCTGGCAGGAAGGGGCTCACCTGGCACATTAAAAAAAGTCTTCAAAATAGTTAAAAAAAAAAACAAAAACATAGATAGGCCTCTAGAAGGTTATATGCTCAAAAGAGCTGCCTCTCACATGAAAAGCTCAGGAACACTGAAACTGGCCTGCTCCACCTGGCAAAACCTCCTAACCCTCTGGGCTGGTTTTCTGCTGCCAGCCATGATAAAAACTTACAAGAGCCCAGCAAGAAAGCATCTCCCTTACATTCAAGTTACTTCTTTCCCATTCATAATCTTTATATCCCAGGACTCCTGACATATTGGCATCAACTCTAGCTTTTCATATTAAAAAACAACATCTGTGAACTCATGGGAAGATTCGTAGGAGCTATACAAATAAGTTCATCTGCAATGAATGCATGGTAATAAAGAATGATGTACTGTATAAAGTAGAGCTCATCCTTTAATCTGTCATAAACCTGATGGACTATGGTCAAATGGTAGGTCAGAGTGGGTCCCATGTGCTCCCTTTCTGACTAATGACCCTCTTCCTGGGAGAAAGGCTCTGAACTGATGAGTACTGCTGTCTTCCTTGAGATGCAGGATTTGAGCCACATTCAAGGCTCCAAGGGCTGACACACTGCAGCTTTGTCCAATAAAACTTGTTTCCTGTTTTGCTTTTCAATACCCTTCTTTAGGATCTTTTTACACAGAACAGCATATATAAGCCTCCCACAAGGTTCAAATCCCTGAAACCCAAGCCAGCTAGGCTGGAGCAAATGAAAGGAGGGTGTGGGAGGACAGTAGTACTGCTAGAGAGTTACAGGGCATGATGCCCTCTCCCACCAGGGTTTTAGGTCTTAAGATAGCCTTTGGGATTGGCAAGGCAGCTCTGGTCAATCCTGTTTTAGGAATAAGGGATTTGGAGTCTCAGAGATATTAAGTGATTTATCCAGGGTTACCCAGTTGCTAAATGAGGAATGAGATAGAAATCCAGATCCTTTTGGGTCCTTGTAGAAAGGCTCTCCCTTTTCACTAGCCTGTGATGATTAGATAGCCAGAAAGGTGTCCTTAAGGAGAGATGCCTTACTCATCAGATGACATTCAGAGGGAAGTAGCTCTTACTATCAAACAGGTGTTCACTGCCCTCCTTGAGTAAGCAGCTGATATTGAGCGGGATGAAGAGCTGGGCTCGCAGGGGATCGCCATACAAGTAGCTGGGAAGTGCAAAAGGACCCTCCAATACCGGTACCAACAAAAAGCCACAGGAGGTAGCTTTTCGATGCCAACCTTGGACCTAGCAGAAAGTACAGAAAAAAGAGTGTCATCTCCATGTTCTTGCTGACAAGAGAAATACTTCCCAAGGAGCAAACCTGCCAGAGCTGTGGCATGCAGTGATTGGTATGTTCATTTACACATGTCCCCTGTTACAAACAGGCCTATGACAAAAAAAAACAGTACAATTTCACTTCCTTGATATATACACAAAAAAACTGTGATATAAACAAAAGTTCCTTTTCATGGCCCATGCTTCTACAACATCAGAGTTTTCTTTGAAAAAAAAAAAAAACAGCCTGGACAGAACTAAAACCCTTCTTATTCTGTTGTATACTAGAGGAAGGTCACAGGATATAGGTTAAGTCCTGCTAAATTACCCTGTATCAGGAATTTAATAAGTCCAAAGCATCAAATAGGAAAAAAAAAAAATCCACTTAAACTGGCTGAGAGGAATATGACAGAGGGTGGAGAGGACTCTGGTAACCTCTGTCAAAAGTGATCAGCACTGACAAGTAGAATCAGAACCACTCTCTGGGAAATTCCCCCAAGCCATATGATGGAAGACCAAAAATGAGAATTACTGGGGCAGAAAGACATACTTCTTCCCATCAATAACATTTTCCTATATGGAACAATTTGAGTTTTTGTGATACTTTTATTAACCATAAAACCAATGTATACTTTTAAAAGAAAAAAAAACTGAAATTGGAAATGTATGTTTCAATGGTAGAGTGCTTGCCTAGCATCAATGAGGTCCTGGGTTCAATACTTAGCCATTAAAAAAAGCTGACAGATGAGGCTCTGGGATACAGATGAGATCTGTGTCAAATATTATTTTATTTACTTTTTTTTTTTTCCCCCCCAAACAGGGTCCTGGGATGTTACTCAGTCTGGTCTTGAACTTGTGGGCTCAGGTGATACTCTCACCTCAGCCTCTCAGCTACAGGTTAAAAATTATTTAGACACTGTGGTGAGTGACTACAATCCCAGCTGGACCTGGCCAAAAAAAAAAAAAAACCAGTATGGGCCATACCTTAACTTACACAAATACAATTATGTTAAAAATTGAAGGGAATTATTCTTAGATCTTTTCCCAGGAACTCTAGTAACAACAGAACAAAGATATCTGGTTTGATCAAATTAATTCCTAAGACTGAGTCAACAACATTTTTATTTTAGGTAATATTTATCCTTATAAAATCTCACAACAAATGTGAACATTGCCTTAAGGTAAAATTTCACCTAAAGCATTAGCAGCATTGAGTGGATTTGACATGTATAGATATCAAATGTATACTTTTTAAAGATAGTTGCTAAACTCCTTGGAGGAAAAAAAAAAACATGTTTTTTTCTGCCCAACTGTGTGTGTACATGTGACTACTATGGTCTTATTGTTTTGAGATAGGATCATTAGGTAGATCATGCAAGGCAAATGCTGATGCCTAGTGGGTCAGGGGTTAATTTTGCCTGGAGGGAGCATCATCCTGGTGTCAACCAGCTAGGGAGAGGCTGGTGTCCTTGTAAGCTGTGCTGGACGAGCCTAGCTTGACTTGGGTCTTTAGGATACTTCCTGGGTGAGTCTTTCTGAGGGAAGAGTCTTAAAGATGATAATACCATATATTCAGGCTGACTGTGCCAGGCAGACAAGACCCACACAAAACTCTGCCCCAGGAAACAGTATCTTATGGGACAAACCAAGACTACAATAAAACTTTCTAGTCAGTGCTGTGCTCATTCCTCTTAGGATATCTTTCATCTTTCAGTGAACTCTTTTTTTTTATTATTTTTTTGGTTTGTTTGTTTGTTTTTGCATTACAATTCTTAATACACCATTATACAATAATTTATCATATCTCTGATTATATATAAGGTATGTCTTTTTTAACTTCCCAGATGTTCTCAGCTGTGTAATGAAATGCTTAGGCTGTTGTTAGAGTGTAGTCAGGCTCAGCTTACCCACAGAAAAATATTCTTGAAGGGTAAATCAGAGTGTATAATAGGAGTAGCACACTGTGATGATGATTGAGGAAGGCTCCAGGAAGATACTGGCAGCCTGGATAAGGAGTGTTTATTCTAATAGGCACTGGACCAGGATGGGCAATGGCCAGGGATGACTTACTTCTTAGCATGGGAGGAGTAAATGTCCTGATTAGAGAGTCAGGCCAAGGCAGAACAGAGGGAGGAAAGACAGGCAAAAAGACTAGTTAAAATAAGGCTTCTTAGCCTTGGAATTTGTGACACCTTGGGCCAGTTAATTCTTTGTTTATGGACTGTCCTATGCTTTTTAGGATAATGAGCAGCAACCCTGGTCTCTACTCACTAGATGCTAGTAGTACTCCTACCCTCATCATGTTTGATAAGTAAAAAAGTCTGCAGATATTGTCAAATGCCCCTGAGAAGCAAAATCACCCTTGTTTGAGAACTCACATATTAACAGCAGTTATGCTCATTAACAAGGAATTGGTTACATAAATTATGGAATAACCCAAAATTCTGTAGCCCTTAAAAACAAAATAAAGGGGTTGGGGACATAGCTCAGTTGATACAGTGCTTGCCTTGCATGCATAAGGCCCTGGGTTCAATCCCTAGCACCACCACCAAAAAAAAGCAATGATTTTTTAAAAACCCAAACAAAAAATAAGGCAGATTTATTTGTGCTGATTTGGAAGACATACAGGTACTGGGTGGAAAAAGCATGCATCCTACATTACCATCCCAATTAAAAAAACAAGAAGCAAAATTTTGTCTATGCAGAGAATCTCCTTAGGAGTACACTAAACTAAATGGTAGTTGTGGTTACTCTTAGATGGAAGTCCCAGAGCACATGGTGAAATACAGACTTGCTTTTCACTCTAGATCCCCTGATTCTTAACTGGAGGCAATACTTCCCCTTCCCTAGGAACATGTGCTGATTTCTGGAGACATTTCTGGTTATCACTGTGGAAGTGTGCTACTGGCATTTAGTGGAAAAGGCCAGATGCTGTTCAACATCCTATAATGCACAACAGAAATGCACCCTACAGCACCCCACAACAGAGAATTATCTGGCACCAGATGTTAGTAGTGCCAAGGTTGAGAAACCTTAACCCGTACCCCGTTTGAATTTTTTACTGTTTAATTTTCTTAAGGCTATTACAATAGGATGAAAAGGTAATAGGAGCCTGAACCAAATAATTAAAGAGATATCTACTAAGAGCCCCCTTCCCCTCTGAGAAGTGAACAAAAAAAGGCCCTAATCAGATGCATGAAGTTCTCACCATCTCAAATAGCACAGCAGCAGTCACTGCCATCCAGTGTAGCTTGATCTCAAAGGCTGCATTCAAGGAGAAGTTACCATGGTAGTAACAGCTGCACCACTCCAGCCGGTCTGTACGGTTGTTCACGTCAACATCCAGGGTCACAGTCCTCTGCTCTGGGACAGTGGCAGCTGTGTCAGCACATAAAAAAGGCCAAAGTAAGAGGAGTGGGATGGGGAAGAAATATAAACAACTGAGCATACAGATGTGAAATTGCAGAACTGCCTAATAGAAAATCAGAGACTTGAGCTGGGGCTGTAGCTCAGTGGTAGAGCGCTTGCCTAGCATGTTTAAGGCACTGGGTTCAATCCTTAGCACCACATAAAAATAAATAGCTAAAATAAGGTATCAAAAATATAAACTATTTTTTTAAAAATCAGAGACTCTAGAAATTTTCTGGAAATCATCTAGTCCCAGGGTCCCCAAATTTTTTCTGTTTGTAAATAGATAATAAATTATTTTAGGTTTTACAGGGCATATAGTTTCTGTCACAACTACTCAATATAGTGCAAAAGTAAACACAGACATTGCATTAAAGAACAGGCTTTCTTTATGCTGGGCATAGTGACACACACCTGTGTCCCAGCAATTCCAGAGGCTAAGACAGGAGAATCCTAAGTTCAAGGCCAACCTAGACAACTTAGCAAAAACATTTCTCAACGTAAAATAAAAAGGGTTGGGGCAACAGTTCAGTGGCAGAGCACTTGCCTACTGTGCACAAGGCCCTGGATTCAATCTCCAGTATTACAAGGATAAAAAAGGAAAAAAAAAAAAAACTTATTTATAAAAACAGATGGCTTTTAAACTCAGAAGGTCAAGGATTGCATGTTTCCTCTCATATGTGGGAGGAAAAAGGAGGGATTAGGGAAGTCCCATGAAAATCAAAGGGCAATCAATAGACTAGATAGAGAAATGGAACTAGGGAAAAGAAGGAAATACTGAGGAATGATGTCAGTCAAATTATATTGTTCTATTGTGTACATTTACAAATACGAAATAACAAATCTACCATTATGTACAATTATAATAAAAAATATGTGAAAAAAATCAATTGGTTTTTTAGGGCAGTTAAACTATCTGTATGATACAATAATGGTAGATACATGTCATTATATGTTTTTCCAAAACCATAGATTGTACACCATGAATGAATCCTATATTATCACCCATGAACTTTGGGTGATAATAGTATGTCAACATAGATTTCATGAATTTTAAGGAATGTTACTCTGGTGGGAGATGTTGATATTGGGAAGGCTAGGTATATTTGTGGTCAGGGGACATATATAAACTTTTGGCACCAATTTTCTTGTGACCCTAAAATTCTTCTTCAAAAAATGGGCAATTATAAAACAAGCAAAGAAATCATAAACTAGAGGGCCACTTAAACTCCAATTTGCCTCTCCTTAATCAAATCCAACCCTTTCATTTACAGGACAGAAACCAATGTTCAAGAGGGAAGATTCCTTGGCTAAAATTATGGAGTCAGAACCTCAGGCAGGCTGAACCCAAGATTATCTGATTTCAGTGATCCACAAAGGGATATAAGGAGAAGCAACCCAGACCAGAGTAAGGAGGAAGTCTTCCTTTTCTGGTTTCAATCCAGGAAGGCATTAGTTCTATAATCTTTTCTCAATAAATAAAACCTCATGATAAAGTTTAACACTCTGTTCCATCATCCTTTGGTGGAAAACTGGCTCAGTGCCAAACTTGCTTATCCTCTGGCATCCTTGTTCAGAAAACCTACTCAACCCAAGACAGCAATATATTAGAGAGGTGTCAGAAAATCAGGTTCCTTACTAGATAAAGGATTGAAATAGGCTCAGAAATTTTAAAAGGTCAAGGCTCTGTTCTGCCTGCCTTGGATGCTGTCACACCTAAGGTTTCTATAAATTATGGTCTGCCCTTCATTTGTCACCCACCCCCATGAGTTCAATGGTTTCTATTTATCTTAAGTACTCAACTTAGTCCTGGGTCTGCAGGTAGAAGCATTGGATTGTATTATCTCTGACAAGGATAAAATGGCTCCTGAGTCAGCAGTTTTACTGAGCTGCTAACAGGAGGCAGGGAAGAGTTAGCTAGGGTACTGAATGGCACCCAGGTAAACTGACATTTAGCTGCCAGCTGTACCACTTATTTTTCTCTCAAAACTAAAACATACAAAAGATATGGATTTGGAGTTGGAAGACCTAAGTTCTGCCATTTACTAATATGTGTTTCTGAGAATATAGCTCTGGTTTAGTTCTTTGTCTCCAAACTGAGAGGTGGCAGCTTAGCTGTTTCACAGAGGAGGGGTGAGGAACAAGTGAACACTGCAGAGGATTACAGACTCCCTTTTGCCTTCTCCTCAAGCCTCCTCATTTCTATCTCCCCTCCTCTCCCTCTGCTCTCCGTTTAAGCCAGGAGCTCACCAAAGCTCAAGGTGAAACCTGGGCATAACTCCATAAACACTGTCCATTATGCTTAAGGTACTTGGTACCTTAACTTGACCACTCTGATCCTAAAGCTGCACCTCTGTCTCTGCTTCATGTTTCTGATTCATGACACCGACAGACTGACCCTGTACTTCACAGACCAAATCAAAGAAAGTTTTGCTCTCTACTCTTCAACACTGTATCCCTCCCTCAGGTAAGAAGCACCCAGCAAAAATAAGGTCACTCCATAAACATCAACAGTGACCACATACATCTCTTCTTTCCCATCTGGAATATTAAGTTCAACACAGACTGGTCTAGAGAAGCCCAAAGGAACTGTTCTGCCAAGTGGTTGTATCACTGGTTTCGGAGACAGATACAAGATGGTGGACTGGAAGAAGACCTCATTTCTTGTGGCTCTGTGACTCAGGATTCAAGCAGAGGAAATACTGTTTCTCTGCAAGGCAGCTGTTGCTGCCCACTGATCCCCTGCTGTTTACCCCCCATTCACCCTCCACAACAGCCTGATAGCTGGCTGTCTACAGCATACCATCTGCCATTTGTCCATTTGCCTGCCTCTTGCCTGCCCATCCACTGCTGCCTGACATCCACCTGCAGATTGCCTGCCACTAGCCCACAGACTGGCAGCAGACCACCAGTGGATTGTTGGCTGCCCACTGCCCCCTGCTGCTTGGAAGTCCACTGTCACAGTACCCGCAGGTTTGGTTACATGCAGCCACCACCATCTTGGGACACTAGTCAGGGCCCACAGGTTTGTAATTGCCACCGCTGCCATCTTGGGACATGGCTGCCTCAGTCTAAGGGATACCAGCCAGGGCCTTAAGATATATTGTCGGGGTACCTGCAGGTCTGGTTGCACCTGAGATCTTTCTGCTGGGTATGCTAGTGGCCGCCATCTGGCTGTCTCTTTGTAGGGTCTCTCCTTTGTGTGACCACATCCCTGGTGGTTTCCCTACAAGTTGAAATGGTATTGAATCTTGGGAGTGCAGCAAGGCAGAGCCTTGGGAATCTGAAGCCAGGTCCATAAGACTGCAGCTGGGCTTGTATGGGCCAGTCTGGTTCTAGCAAGCTGTGGAAAGTCAGAGACTAGGGGCAGTTCCCCAAAGGGAGCTCAGTTGGAGAAACTGGAGGAAACCAGGCTCTCTTCAGCTCATGGGGATGAAATGGGTGAGAAGATTGGAAGAGGGTGTGAGAAGATCTTGCTGGCACCCACGGGACTGGAGCTACCATCAAACTTCAGATAACCCCACCTATTGGCAGAGAGTGGAAGTTAAGAAATTTTTTGTTTTTTTGTTTTGTTTTGTTTTGTTTTTGTTTTTAGAGAGAGAGAGAGAAAATTTTTTAACATTTATTTGTTTTTAGTTTTCGGCGGGCACAACATCTTTGTTTGTATGTGGTGCTGAGGATCGAACTCGGGCCGCACACATGCCAGGAGAGCGCACTACCACTTGAGCCACATCCCCAGCCCTTTAAGAAATTTTTTGAAAGCTAGCAGAAGCTATTGTTCAATTTTCCATTGAGACTTTCCTTTTTTTTCTTTTTTAATTTCTTTTGCCCTTTCCCTCATATCTCTACCATCTTTTAATCCAAATATTTTTCATGCAACAATTTATTGAGGAATGGGATGTCTGAATAGTACATTACAGTTTCGTTGTGTATCCTTATATTTATACTTTTTTTTTAATCTGTATAAATTTTTTTTCCTCACCTACCTCTCTCCCTAGATTCTCTTTCCTCACTTCTCTCATACTAACAGCCAACCTCTATTAATCCCTCTCTCTCTTACTTTAAATTTTTTCCTCTATCTTCTCTCCTCTCTCATAAACATCATATCTCACACTAATTCTGTTCCCTCATTGTCTATCATTAGAAATGGTGTACCCTTTCAGCAAACTTACTGTTTATATTGTAGACAATAATTGAACACATCATTTCTGTTTATTGTGACAAAACTATAGACACCTTAATAGGAAATATTTGGTTTAAAGGTATATATTATTTGCATTGGGTTCAAAGATGAAACTAAATCAAGCTAAAAACAAAAAAATAAACCAAAATGACCAGGAATACAAATCATATCCCAATAATAATCCTGAATGTTAATGGCCTAAACTCATCAATCCAAAGACATAAACTGGAAGATTGGATTTTTAAAAAGACCCAACAATATGCTATCTTCAAGAGACTCAAATCCTAGGAAAAGACACCCACAGACAGAAGTTAAAAGATTAGGAAAAAAACACATCACTCACACGGACTGTGTAAACAAGCAAGGGGTTCCATCCTCATACCATAAAAAGTGGACTTCAAACCAAACTTAGTCAGAAGGGATAAAGAAGGACATTTAATGCTGGTTAAGGGAATCATACATCAACAAGATATAACAATATTTACTATTGTTATAGTAAATACGTATGCCCCAAACAATGGAGCATCTACATACACCAAACAAACCCTCTCAAATTTCAAGAATCAAATAGATAACAACACAATAATACTGGGTAATTTTAACACACCTCTCTCACCACTGGATAGATCTTCCAAACAAAAACCAAACAAAGAAACTATAGAACTACATATTACCATCGATGATTTAGACTTAATGGGCATATAAAAACTACTTCATCACCATCGAGTGAATACACCTTCTTCTCAGCACCACACGGATCCTTCTCTACAATAGACCATATGTTTTG